CATCTGAACATGCCAACTCTAGCTGGTATCAGTCACCACCTAGTGGACAATTATGGACTAGCTTCCCAGTGGGGGAAATTTCTTCCAAATCTCCAGAGATCGGTTTAAACCCTGACAATTTTAGATCGAGACTCATTTGTATTTTGAACCTTCACTATTCTAACTTTGGATGTTCATCGTCTCCCAATAAATTTCTAATCCTGTTTTATATCCTCCTAAACTATTGGTTCCAATGAAATCCTGTGGCCATGAGTTCCTCCGGCCAACTGTGTTTTGGGGGAAAAGGTATTTTGTTTGATCTATTTTAAATTTTACAGCCTGACAGTTACATTAAACACAGAGCTGACTTTTTGTGCTGAAATATATCTCCACACATAAAAAATTGGGGTTTCTTTGTTATCGTGTGAAGGGAAAATGCTTGCAGTAATTTTGGGGTAAGAGGAAAATAAGACCATTTTCTTATTTATAACAAAGATTCTCTAAATAAGACAATCAATTTAAGAAAAAAATTAAACAATTTATCCACTTAAAAGTTCTAGCAATCAGATAATGTATCCATTTATGTCTATAAACATGTCAATTTTTCTATTTTAAAAGGTCACTAGATGAGCCAATTTATGCAGTTATTTAAATAAAATGTCAACATTTATTTCTAGATTTTTTTATAAATGAAAAATAGGACAATTTTCCCATTGATAACAAAAATCTATAAATGAAACGATTTCCCCATGTTAATAACATTTTAGAAATACAATTTCCCCATTTATTAAAAAATCTCTAAATAAGCCAGTTTCCCTATATGTCATAAAATCTCCAAAAATGACAATGATCACATTTTTTAAAGAAAAGATGTCTAAATAATACAATGTATCAAATTTTGAAAAGTCTAGAAATAGCATAATTTATCCATTTATTTAAAAAGAACTCTAAATAAGATAATTTTCCACTTTAAAAAATCTTAAAGAAAGATGAATTTTCTTACTATAAAAATATATTTAGAAATTAATTTTATGTTCATTTGGATGCCGCTAGTGTAGATAAAAAAATTGTGGAGGGAAATTTAAAGGTGTCAAAAATATTAGAATTGTCAGGATGGTTTCATTGTTAATAATAAACAAATGCTTTACATTTCCCAGGGAAAATTTTTGATTAAAAATATAATTTTCCAATTCTGAAATTCAAAATATAAACAAATTTTTAAATCAGAATTTCACATTTTTTAATTTCAACACTGAATTTTGAACAATGTTCAAATTTTCAATTAAAAAAAAACCACAAGACTGACTACTCCTACCACAGACCACTACAGCTTTAAGGAAAGCGGCTCTGAAAAAATGAAGCAACTGCCAAAACACTGGCATGCTACGGGCTCTTGCAGTTCACAAAACTATCCCTCTTGCAGGTGAATTATCTGCGCACACAGCTCAGCTTTAAGATGCTAAACAGAGCTATGAGTCCACTAGAAATAGTCACGCTCTCCTCGCAAATATCCTGACTATTGTCTGATACTGGAAAGCAGAGTAAAAGGGATTCACGCAGCCTTACACAATTTCTCTGGGTCGTCAGCTCTTAATCTGATGAATACTGCACATGGAGAACAGTAAAAATAAGGAATCAGGCGACACAGACAGCAAACCAGCCCACAAACAAACAAGTGACAACACTGAAAATATGAAGGGAAGTAAAACATCAAGTGGTTGGTGATGGGTATTTTAAATGAGTGTCTACAACCCAGGCTGTGCAAATACAACAGAGCCCTGTAGAAATAGGCGTGTGTGTGTGTGTGTGTGTGTGTGTGTGTGTGACCAACTCAAAAACTCAGAGGAGAAGCCCTGGAGCAAATTGACAAATGGCTTCAGAGTTTGCAGACAGATCCCTGCTTCAAACAGCTTGCAAATAAGGTCTTGATCCTCCAAGTATCGGGGGCAGCCGGGTTAGTCTGCATCCAACAACAAAACACTGAGCACCACAACTAGTGCTTGCTACTTACGAGTCAATGGGAGCCCTCGGAAGAGCTGGAACTATACCAGATAGTAAAGATGTGGCCTTAATGGTTTCCGATACCTCTCCCCAAACAAATTCAAAACTTAATGGAAATCACTTGTCTGGAATCCAACTCTAATTGAAAGGCCAAACAAATAAACAGCACCCATCATAAAGTTCCTCCAGTTTTAACAATTTCCCATGTATTAATTAGTAAAATGGGATATTTTTTAAAAAAATCATGAGGATCACAGTTTTCAGCTGTCTACAACACTCCCCAAGAATTCAGTTGTTCAAAGAATCCTTTTCTCTCTTCCCTTAAGCCATGAACACCTGCTGTGGAAACCTGGTTTGAAATGTCCCCATGCCAACGTCAGGAGCCAGGCCTGGCCCCATCCCGCAAAGGCCTGTGCATGGGAGCCCCACACAGGCAGAGCTGTCGGTGGGATCAGGATCTAGGACAGAGTCAATAGCATGAACGCAGCTTCTTAAAGTGACACCAAGCAAAATCCAATCACAGATTTCTGTTCACCGCGGCTTGCTGTGCTTTATCCATCAGATCACCCCACATAGCCACATCCCCCCATGCCCCAAAACGCCAGCAACTCGCCAGAGGTCTTGGCACCCCCTGCATAGCCTGTTACCCCCCACCCCCCGTAGCCTGCTCTCGTCCGGCCTAGCCTGGGGCTAGGACACCCCAAACTCCCCAACCCCCCTCACCTACTCCCTATTTCTCCCATCACTTCTTCTTCCACCTCTGCTCCAGGGCCCAGGTCAGGAGGCACCTAGTGAGTGGAGCCAGCCTGCATTCCCTCTTCCCTCCCCCAGGATCACCTTCTACTGCAGGGTCTCAAATTCCACCTGTGGCCTGTGAGCCTCCCCAGTGTGGACCGCGGGGCTCCAGCAGTTTTGGGGCCGAGTCTCTCACTTCACCCCAAGTGCTGCCCCCAGGCACTCTCCCCCCCGCCCCCGGGCCCCCGCAGCACAGCAAGGCTGAGCAGCGTCTGCCTGCTCGCTCCACCTGTCTGCCGGACCCTTGGTGCCCCAGGTAAAAGCCGCACCCCCTGACCCCCTCCCAGAGCCTGCACCCCCACCCCACGTTCCCCCTCCCATCCCGAAACTCCATCCTATAGCCTGCATCCCCTCTCCCCATACCCTCTCACCACACACACACCCCAGAGCCTGCACCCCCATCCTCTGGCCCACAGATCATTGTCCGATCCTCCCTTGCGTCTGTGTCAGGAACCCCAGATCTCAAACGGTTTCAGAGGTGCCGCTGTGTTAGTGTGTATCAGCAAAAACAGCGAGGAGTCCTTGTGGCACCTTAGAGACTAACACATTTATTTGGTCATAAGCTTTCGTGGGTGAGAACCCACTTCATCGAATGCATGGAGTGGAACATACAGTAGGGAGGTATAAACACACAGCACATGACCAGATGGGAGTTGCGTTACCGAGTGGGGGGTCAGTGCTAAGGAGCTAATTCAATGAAGGTGGAAGTGGGCGACTCTCAACAGTCAACAAGACTCAAGCGCTGGCCCACAGGGCGCTTAGGAGCTCGTCAGTCCGAATCCACCACCCAGTGTCCTGCTCACGCTGCTAGAATAGCCGCTGAAGGGGAGCAGAGGACTCCAGTCCTGGGCTCTGATTGGTGGAACCCTGGGGGGCCCGACGGGTCCCCAGCCTCTGTGTCCCCCAAGCCAAGGGGCAGGACGTTGTCTGTGCCGCTGGGTCCTCCCTGCTCAGCTGTGCTTCCCCTGCGATACTGTTGTACTTAAAGTACTGCACAGGATCTTTTCAGGGGGAATAAGACAAAACGCCACATTTATTAGTAATACATGTATTCATTAACACTGTATTATATGCATATAATATATTACACTTACGCTCACACACACACACACACACACACACACAAACCCATTCCGTCTTGTTGTTACCAATTAGTTGCTCCCCTTAACTTTACTGGCCAGGTGAGTTAGATGGGGGAGGGGGTGGAGCCGGGCTTCTGCCGATCTGGATCGATGCTCCCATGTTGACAAGACGAGACCCGGGGTCCTCTGCAAGACACCTCACTTTTATAGCAGCTTTCCTCTTATGCAAATCTAGACCAGATTCAAACTCTGTGTCTGTGTCCATTGGTCCTTTGTGCTGCTTTCTTTTGAGTGTTGTCCCAACGCTGCAAAGAGGGTGTTTCCAAAAGAAGGTGCTTGCTTCTAACCCCCGAGGCCTTCGGTATGTCTGCTTGTCTTTAATGAGCCCACTTGACACATTTTATTGTTCTTGGGTCTGCCTCCCAGCCCCTCTCCAACAGTTGAGG